TTATTCAGCCAATTATTGACAAGCAGCATGCCATGATATATTAAGTTCTAACATTTTTTGAACGGAGTTATTTCTGTTTGATAACAACGGAAACCTTACGCATCTCAATGCGAGAACGAGGTAATATATCAGTTGGAGTACCGCCTAGCAACAAATGTGTTTTATGGGTTTCACATTAACTTTTTGGTTCGTCAACCTGTTGTAAAGGTGTAAACCGTGAGAAGGAATAACTCATATTGTACTGTTTTCATATCAATAACATCATATTTCCGAGAACTGTCGGTAACTTAGGTCAATGACCCTAATTGAAGCTAAATTAAGGGAGAGTTTTAAAAACTCAAACTAATGAAAAAAATTAACATGATGAAAAAAAACTTTGTTGTGTCAAATGATTAATACATATAACTGAATGTAATCCTGTTTCCAATTTTTTCTGGTCATTTCTCTCTACTGAAACATCACGTGACTAAGTGTTATTTTATTTTTGCACAATGGATGTAACCAAGATGATCGAATGACATCTGAAAAAATTGTGTTGACAATATCATTCTCCTTTTTTTTATCTTGAGTCAGCACTGGTGTTGACGATAGTAGTTGTATAGTTTAATGCCAGGTGTATATCTGATATAGATGTAATAGTATTTTTGTGTTAATGTGATGAATTGAACTAGAATCAACTATCCAAATGAATAGTATTTTTGTGTTAATGTGATGAATTGAACTAGAATCAACAATCCAAATGAATAGTATTTTTGTGTTAATGTGATGAATTGAACTAGAATCAACAATCCAAATGAATAGTATTTTTGCGTTAATGTGATGAATTGAACTAAAATCAACAATCTAAATTAACAGTATTTTTGTGTTAATGTGATGAATTGAACTAGAATCAACGATCCAAATGAATAGTCCTAGAGAAGTGTCACTAGTGGGCAAAAAAAGAAGATAAATTTGTGAACAAACAAGCTGAATGACCTTCATATGACGGGATATAATGATTAATTTTTCTTTTAAAAATATTATCGAAATAAATATTCTATGAACATGTTTCTAAAAATTGATTATAATATTGTAACAATATATGCATGGAGAATGACTAACCTATTTCTAGTATTTGACGAAAACAACATTTTTATGTATATTTGGTCATCTCTTTTAAGTATTGCTTGATTAGCATTTTGACTTTATATATTTTTATGTTCAAACATTCTTCTTGACAAATCATTAGACTGAAACATGCGAAAAACTGACTCTCAAAGACATATTCCTACTTGGTCAACTGTATGACCCTGAAAATTATTCATTGTAATGGTCAAGGCAGTGAATGTTATGAATTTCGGAGTCTTCTCTTTGAACTGTCTTCTTGGTTTTGGCTATGTTAGCCCGCTGAGATGAAGAAGCGCGCTTTAATTTGGGCATTTTCAAAATTGAAATGTGCTGCGGGCAAAACATACGGGTTATTGTACAGTTGTAGCCGAGGGTTCCGATTGAACAAAACTTGGTGATGTCGTGTCAATGTGTCTCTTGGACAACTAAGCAAACGTAATGGGGAATTTCAGCCAATGAGTATAATTTTTGTGCGCCAGTAATACCAAGCGTGGGGTGCGCGTATATCCGATTATATTTTATTACTCATCACGATCTCTATCAACCTACCTTCAAATCTAATTATATGCCCAAAGTAACGCATCGTCCGTTTCATATATGTATGGCTGGAAGAATTTTAAAAAGACAAACTTGCTTGTCACAGCAGAAAACGCCGTCGTTTCATACAAGTTGCCTGTCGATCGGTACCGCAACGACCAAGATATCGGCGTGACAGACTGACAGCTTTTCGTCTTTATATAGTAGATTACTTCGATGTTAAGCTATTTCGCAGTTCTGTATTTGATGTTACTGATCCGTGAGCTATCTGAGAAAGCAAGGTTTGTATCATAATTGATTAGCGAAATCCAAGTTTTTTACAGTGTTGATGAATTCATCTGCATGACGAATTCGCAACTTGGTTTTCCTCATCCACTCTTTTGTTTGTTCACATGACCAAACCGTGTTATTTACATTGCTTTCTTTCACACAAGTTTGGCGCCATCTACTGCAAAGACAAGCTAGTTTGTTTTGTCATGGATGATACTTCCTTCTAGTTATACAGACTATGGACTTCTTGAACCATCTTGCTGCATGTATTGTTCTCTTGAGCAGAAGAATGTGATTTTGAAAATTAGACTGTAATAGTTTTCTGAATCAATCCTTCTCTGGTGTTGTGGAAAACCAACAGTATCTTTGGTAGGTCTGGAATTACTAGCTAAGTCACTGTCCGAGTCCCACACCCATTCAGCTCGTGTTAGCAATGCAGTACTCTTTCCACCTTTTCCAGTCCTTCGTATTGGGTTTCAGCTATAGCAAAGGCAGGCGTGCTTCACCATGTTCCTTCATCTATAAGACCAACTTAATGTGTGAAAAACGTAACTGAACTTCTTACCATTTTCCCTTCTAGTTGAAGCATTAATCATGTGTCTGAGTGTTGTATCTTGTGCTATATTGCATTAGTTGATCTACCTAATGTTTCCCGAGTGTTTCGTGAGTTGTATCTAGTCAGTGTGAAAAGGAATAAGCGGTATGTCTTTGTTGCTATCCAGGCAGATACTCAATTGTATATGTTTACCTTTAAAGTGTAGTGAACAAACAGGATGTTATTCTTCTTGAAGTTGACTATTACAGTAACATATGATCGACCCCAAAAAAATTATGTTTGAAGATAAGGTTAAAAAAAAAAGAATATATAATGATACACAAAGCCAGCACTCTGAAGTACTAGGAAACTTACAACAACATATAAGCATTTTTTTAGTGCCATCCTGAATTTGTACAAACACTATTGGTGATATTTGTGGTATCCATATTAGGTGTGAATTGACCGTTTAGTTATAAATATGCCAGTAATAAGGCTTCAATAGAATGAACCCTGTGATCACAATCGGCATCTCACACAAAAATAACTGTTTCTGCCAAGACAACTAGGCATCAGTAGTTGAAGTTTGAAGCATCAGTAACAAGATGAAATATATGAACATCCCACCTATCCATCGGACAACCGCATTTCTTAGCTACTTCTGTTATGTCTGTATTTGTAATGACTTTGCTCCTTCTCAGAGCCTTTGTAAGGAGTTCTAACTGAGTCCAAGATTACTTTTATTGAAGATTTTTTTTCTCCACCATAACCTCAATCTTTAGCGCGTTTTTGTTTTTAATTGTACACATCAGAATTTCGAATTTTAAAAGTTAAGTCAGGCCGATACAAATGTTGCAGCGCTTTCTGGTGGAAATTTTAAAAATTGCCTGAAAACAGAACTGTAAATACATTATTTTTCAATTTTACGCTCATGTTAAAGGATATATTCGTGGTTGATAAATGGTTAAAACAAAAAGAAAAATTGTGCTGCTAGGCCATTATATGAACGTAAGAAAATCGACCTTGGTTTATTGTGCCTGCATAAGTCTGGTAAAAATGATATTTAATACAGCTCGAACTATCCTCTGTCTAAACATACTTTATAATAATTACTCTTCAGTTGCTTAGAATAGTTCACACTAAAACATTTGTTAATGCAATTGATGATAAAAATTGCGCCTTGACCACTACTGTGTTTGTCGTATTCCAGACGACCTGATGAGTCTTGTATGGTATAGGACGGTACCACGTTTTCTACTACCTTGTTTAATATGAAATTTTGTTTTTCTTTCAGTCAGTTTGAACATAGGAATGCCGTTCATGTAAGCACTTTTATCTTTGCTTCTTTATAGATGTATCCAGGCCTTCTTTCGCTAATTTCCAATTAATCAAGTTCTTGCAGAGGAAATGGAATGACGCCAAGAAATAGAAGCACTCAAGCACGAATGGCACATACAAAATCATGTTTCGGTTGCAAACCTGTCTTAAGTTGTTACTGTGTTTTATATTAAAAGCCAGGTTCTATTTTGTTTAGGTTTTTCTTTAGTTAGATTTTTTTTTTTACTAAGAACTGGATTTTGCTCAGCTTTTATATCTTTGTTCTTCTTTTGAATTTGGACTTATTTTTATTTTCTAACTTTGTTCTATCTTGAAGGAGGGGAATACTAGTCCAAGTAGCAGCATGCAAGACATGGGGGACACCCACATATTTAGGGTGCCTCTTCATACACCTTAGTTACTATGATTGTTTTTTAATTGTAAATAAAGATTCTTCTTGTGAGCTTTACATGACTCGACTCTTTCTTCCTGATTAACTCGGTCACACATAGGAAAGATAAACAAACTAGATGTCCTTCGAACCGCTAGTTAGCAAGCCCTAACTGACAAGTCAAGAGGAAATTCCGCGAACCGAAAAATACCACATTGGCCATATTTGAAACTGTCTTAACTCTTTGACTGCGGCTGCTTTACACGCGCGCAGACTTTTTGCGACCTATCAGCAGTCAATGGTTTAAAGATAATGTAATAAAACTTACATAAACTACCACTTATTACAGAAAAAATGTTTGAGATTTCCTTTTCTATGCCGGTTGTATAATAAGAAACTTACTATGATGTTATTCACACAGAACATGAAAAACGGTAATCTTTTGTAAATAATAACGGAGAGCGACAAAGTTAGTTTGTGTTTCCCAAACTCTTTTATTCTGAGGCTCCTTTATGTAAATAAAAAAGTTTGAGGCCCTACAACCTATAAAAATGCCTTAAAATATGATTTATCAATTTCAAAAAATAATTACTAACGAACTTTAATGGTACCTATGAAGTACTTTTTCTATTAAATTGTATGTTTGTAATTTAATGTGGCCTTTTCTTATTAATTTATATGTATTAATAACTAGACCATCAGCAATTTATTGTGTTTGGATTAAATTTGTAGACTGATGAGCAATTAAATACAATTTTAATTTTATCTAATGTTATCTTATTTTCTTTTTAAAACATGAAGCAATTTACGTATTAAGAGTGATAATAAATGATAACAAAAATGTAGTATTAACCATTTTATTTACAAATTAATATACAGTCGAAATAAAATAAAACATAGAAAAAACATAACGGCCCCCAGAGGCGCCGCGACTCCCACTTTGGGGAACACTTTAATGCATTATTCGGTAAATAGTTCACTAAGTATGAGCGATCAGTTATTTTTTGTTCGCTCATCAATTTTACTCACCTAACACATAATAAGAAGCGCCTCTTTCACCTGACACGAAAATATTTTTAATTTTTAAATTGCAAATAATTTTCTGACAAAAAAACGAAATCATTTTCCACAAGTATCACTATATAAAATTAAATTACATTTAAAATATTATTTTATGTGTCAAGCACACAGAGTTAAGGTCAACAGTATTTTATAATGGTTCTAAAACCCGAAAATAAATTCAAATATTCTGTGAATAATTTTTTATTCATATACTTATAGAATGAAACTTACCTATAGTACACATTCCGAATAAAATATCACAAACGCTTTTGTTTGTTCACTGAAATTCGTGCAGGGATATCTGCGTTAGACATCCCTAATGTATAAATTGTAGTTTAGAGAAAAGGCTGCTAGTGAATTCTTGGGCTACTATATTCGAATGGTGGGATTGACAGTCACGTAATAACACCTTCACGGCTGAAAGGGCGAGCATATACGGAATCAAAATTTGACAGTATAAAGAAACCAATATATAAATATTTATTATAACAAAACTACAATAAAACAAATTTTAAACATGTAATCATCTCTTACGTCAGAAATGTCTGTTTATTACAGATATTCATTGAACTTAATAAATTAATCTTACAGATACATATTGGACATAAAAAAATATATAACCGTTTCCTACAAATAGCCATTAAGCACGAGAAATGTTTCTTACAAATAGATATTGGACAGAAGAAACTTGACTGTTTCATACAGATATCAACAGAATATTATTCAGTGAATATCAAAAAATGTGATTGTTTCTATAGGTAGCCAATGTCTGTTTTCTGTATTCGAGGGCTGTGAAAAAGACTTAAGTTTAAAGGTGCAAATAATTTTATGCTTGATTTATTAAAAAATATAGTTACATAAATATATATATGTTGGATTATACATTGATTTCGTACGTGTAAAAGGCCAAGCATGACCAGTGGTTACTCGACCATACTGTGAACCTTCAGTAAATCGGGGTCCATGAGTGGAATATAAATTCTGATTAAGAAGTTAGCACACATGATCTCGTTTGAAAACTATTACAATTTTTGTATTTGATTATGTGTTCTAACTTCTTAATTAGAATACTTTGGACATGAGGGACCAACGTTCACACCTCGTTACCGTAAACAAACAAAAAAATATCGCGCTTCAAACTTTGGGGTCGTGCGTAATATTGACTAGCTGTCTTCCCTCTAGTCTGTCAAAACCAGGGACGGCTAACACAGATACTCCTCGAGTAGCTATGTGCGAATATCCAAAAAAACAAAACTTGTGTGGTAAAGTATTCAAAATCACCAATACTTAAGTCATTAATGTACAACATAGGTCAGACATTTTCTTCTCAACTCTGATCTTTATTTCGTGATTTTTAAAAATATATTTATGGTTATTTGAACGTTCTAAAGTGTTGACAATAATAAAAAAAATCCAAATTTATACACAAAAATAATCATTAACTTTTTATTATTTTATCGAACAGTGGTACAACTGCAAATCTATCTGTAAGATATAAAGAACTAATACATTCATATGACAACTTGTAGTATAGTGACGATTACAGGCTTCTATATTTGGTTCCATGAAAATGCCGGTATATTATTTAATGAAAAGTAGAAAAATAACTATATGATTTCCTCGAATACAAAATAAAGTGTAACGTACTGAATCCCAACATATCTATAGAGCATACGTATAATCAACAGTTACTGAATCCAGTTTTACAACCTAAGACCAGTTTGACATTTTAAAAGCACTTGCAGAGTCAAATACATCAGCACATATATACGTTCTTATGTATATATATATATATATATATATATCATTAAAAATGTGGTTACAACATACTTAAAGTTCCTCAATAAAGAACTGAGTATATTCACTCTACCAAGATTTGGTTAAAAAGACCTAGATTATTAAACAATTGTAATTTTACCGGGGAATGGTCCAAATGATGCATGGAAATCTCATGACACTGGAGACTGATGTATGAAAAAATCATAACAATAAACATTTTAAAAAACGTTATCTTCAAAGATGACTGATGAAATTGAAAGTTAGGAACAGGGATCCTATTTGTACACTTGTGGAGGGAAACAGTCCGAATAGGTAAATAAAACAAAACTTTCGTCAACCCTACGTATGAGTAGAGTGCTTCAGCTTCTCACACACTATCTGTAAAACAAATACATGAACAAAACAAAAAATATGGGAACATAACCATATACACATGGCAAGCTGTTGTATTTACAAACGCAATAAGGCAACCCACGTTATATTTCGGAGAATGTGACAACCTGTTCGGCATGACATATTTGCACGCCGCAATATTATGACGTAAACAAATTGGTTTGAATCAATGGAACGAAACCCACGTGAGAGGTATTACGATTTACGTTTGTACAAAACAGATTTCACTGCTTAGAAAATATAAAAATAGTGTATGTAACACAAACAATAAACACACTGTTCTATAGGCCCTACAAGTGCGGTAAGTTAGCTTTTGAAGCTGGTATTACAAGTTGTCTTATGACTACACTTTAAAGCAGCTCACACCGATAAAATAAATAAATAGCACATTGGTTAAATAAAATGTAAAATGAGTAGAAACAAAAGTGATTTAGTGAAATTTGAATGTCGTGTTGTTTGCACTGAATAAACTTTCGTTGAGGCGTAAACGCTGCCATGTATTTCGTTTCCATTGCCAATTAACATATTAGTCCAGTACTACTGCTTTTCTGAGTTGGTTTACATGAAGACTGTCGATTGCTAGCATGATATTATAACTCGATCAATTGAAATGTGTGTTTGTACAGATTAGATATACGTGTACATACTGATATCCAGCAAAATTGAGCGAACTTGTGATGTGTTACGTTAGCTACAACGTTGCCACTCTAAGCTGTTAATCTGTGAGAACACGCTTGCTAACACTACCGGAACGGTATCAGAATGACAGCAGTAAACGGGTAACTAAAATGGTTATCCATCATATGAAAACGCTCAGTGCTTAATTTATGCTCATATTACTTCTTCATTTCAGCGAGGAAGGCTTCATTGATGCTGCACCATAACATGTTTGTCTACATAACTAAACGCCAGAGTATAAAAATACCAAAGGAGGAGGGGGGGGGGTCAAACCTATCTTTTCTAATTCAAAATATAAACTTTTTATTTGGTATCACGACACAATAACACAAAAACCCAACTATTTACGTATTGTATGTATTTTCCAATTCCAATAACAAAAATTGCTGTAATTTATCAAAACAGTTCGAAACCTGGTTTCATATATAACATCAGAGTCTAATACAGTAATAGCAGCTGAAAACTTAACACAAGTTCTATAATCCACCGGAATAATTAATAAAATATACTGTGATGTCACGACTGGTTACACACACGACACAGTTTGAAATTAATCGTGGACGCAAACAGGATAGTTCTTAAAAAATTTACAATGCTTTTACACACTGTTACAAGTAAGTAATACGCAGACACTAACCAAACACATCAATTCAAACAAATGCTTTGTTTCTAAAACTATTTTACTATTGGAGAGCTCGCGTTTCAATTAAACAACTTCAAAAGCAAAATGTTACACATGAAAAAAACAACAACAACAATAATTATTACATCACTTCACTGACAAAAACAACGTTAAACATGACAGATCTAGAAATTTGAATCTAAAATTAGTTTTTGAAACCCTTTTTTAGTCCAATTCGAACTCTTTTTTTTTATTTTATACAATCACAAATCATTCATTAAAGACACGCAGAACAATTTTATATATTTTCGGGTACTACAAAAAGTTAATATATGTCCCGTCCCTCCTTTAAAATCAGCAACTAAAATCACATTTATATATATATATATATAAAAAAAACAACATATGAATAGCTGCATGCGTACATATGATATTCGGCAACTTTCCAGTTTTTATAGATCTAACTACATGAAAAGAAATAAAATTACAATTCGAATATACACACCAAACAGATTATGAGGTACTGTTTCTACATTCAGTTTATATTCAAAATTCATCGCTAAGTAGTTACAGCATTTGGTGTATGCAAATTCACAAGCTTACTAGCCCTACAACATTTATCTCGCTGAACAAATATCGAAATTATTTTACCTCCAGAAACTGTATGTTTCAATATCTTTAACATTTAACAGCCTATTTTATTTGTATACTTCAAATGTTTCCAGAAATTAAAGACCAAGATCTATAGTTATTATGCTTCTATAATCACTGAATATGGGTTCATCCACTAACAGCATTATATTAATATACAAATAGTTGATCAAATGCTCTGGTAAGTTGAGCGAAATACGTTGGGGAATCATGAATAACTACATTTTTTTCAACATCGTCACATGACGGCTTCGACAAAACATTGACTTCATTGAGGTATTTGGGTACTAAACAATTGGAGGCTAATATATTAAAATACAAAGTAAATATAATGTTTACTCCAGTGAAGGTTGAAGCACATTTGTGAAGTAAACGCGAAAATCATTTATAACGATCTCCAAAATGGATGATAACATTGTAGAAACTGTTCACGATTACATTCAAGAAATAGTTAGTTGCTGTATCTGCTACTGTTTTTAAAACACCTTACATTCTGAAGAGATAAACAAAGAAAAAACAAAATTCATCAAAATAAAGAAACAGTAGAAACTTCCAGCCTGATGACATTTAGATCTTGCAGTGTGATACCGAATCTATTCATTTTGTGGTTATCAAATAATTTCTAAATTTTGTTACGCTTTGTAACCCTATCTAATGTTTTACTATGCAATATTTCCTGAATTATAAGGCGGGAAGTAAATTACAACCAAGTGTAAGTAGGTTCAAATAATAAACATTGTTATGTATATTAAACAATAATTTTAAAAATAAAAAGAACTGTTGATTATTATCAGTAATTATTTTAATCTAATAACATCACATTTAAGACCACAGCTTATTATGCAAAATAACTAGCATGGAAACTATCTCAGGCAGATACTTTTAGGTCAGGTACTAAATAAAAAAAAAGGTGTCTTAAACTGTGCTGGTTGCTTTATGTTACTGGAGATTTACAATGGTTTAAAATCTTTTATTTTTTCAACAAAATAACCACTTCTTTCTCTTCAATTACTTTATTATAAATGCCAGTGTTATCATGTTGAATATATCCAGGTGTTCAGAAATTGCATTAACAATTGTACACAGACTCACAAACAATTTTGTTAACATAATTTCTAGACACTCTCTATGCTAACTACTGCAGCATTTTTTTCTGGTTATGCATTTTGTATATAATCAGTGTTTTAGGCAACATATCAATGACAGCAGGGGAGGGGGTGGGAGAGAACAGGTGTCTGTAGAAATTATTCCATGTGGAAAAGTCTAAATAGTAAATGAAGACACAAAACCTGAATATATACCAACAAAAATGGATGTTGCTCATTTTCTTAACATCAATCTCCACAATTATTAATGGTACACGGTATTCAAGTGATAATATTAAACTTTTGGTTGTACATAAACTAACCAATATGAACTATCTCACCTAAAAACCATGTAAATGTATATATATTTATACTACTATAATTAGTATGAACAGAGAAAATATAAATTTTTAAAAGCTCTTACTTAGGAAACTTACTATCAAAATACTGCTACCTAAAAATCCTTCCCAAATCATCAAAATAGCATGTATGAGTAATAAATGCACCAAACTCTTGGGAAAAACAGAGGACCACATTGATGTACATGAGGTAGTAAACACAATTTGTCAACTATTATAGTAACTGAGCTGATAACTCAGTCTTAAATTGCAAAATACATTACAGATTTTATGACATTAAAACAAAAACTTAAGTAGGAGAAAGAAAAAAAAGTCAGAAAGATTTAAGTTACTGAAATTATGATAAGTAAAGCAGCATCAATAGAAACTAATGCTTATCAGCTTATCTGTGTGTATGTCAAATTTCAAATACATTGCAATCGTTATTGCTGGAACACAAACTTCTTTCTGAAACTGATGATTTAAAGGTTGACTTTTAAGTTGTTAAAATTTTTTAAGAGATACATTTTTTTCCTTCCATCATTAAATGTTTACTTGTGGATAATTTCAAAACGAAAATTAAGAACTAATGAATCTCTTACTATGTAGGAAAATGTCTATGTTTCTTAGTGAATAAAGGTTTTCATGCAGCAGTTATTTGTGCACTATCCTGTACATGGTCTGTTGTCACATACGACTCATGTAAAACAACCAAGATATATATTATTGGACTTCCATCTCCAGCCTTTAATCTCAATTATAGAAAGGGTTATATTTCAAAATGCAATAGGTATATTGAAAAATATTTTTTTATTTTCTTTAAGTTTAAAATTGATTATATATATATACATATATATATATTAATTACTACAATGAATGCTAAACGAAATGCATATACTCAAACTTCAACTAAACCTATTAATTTATAACCACAATTACAAACCAGTTTAAATTAAAAAAAGAGCATTATGTGGTATCATTTCTTGTCCATTATAACATACTACACACGTCTGATAATAAGTTTAAATTTATATCCTATAATTATTCGTAATCTATAGTTTAAAAGCATCCTGGTAGTTTTATATATTTCATTCAGTTTTCTTTCAGGGTGTATTCAGAATTAAAATCATTATTTGGAAATAAATGATTTTTAATTATAAGCATAATTGGAGCTTTAATAAATACTCTCTAGTGTTACAGCTGTAAAGCAAGGACGATGGATTTACCTACACAATTATAGCTGCCAAATTTAAAGTTCTGCAAGTTTCAAGCTATAAAATCAAAGTATAAAAGATAAATTAGAAATGCTAACTAAATTGTTTAAGTGTCTTGAAAAATTCTGTTAACATTTCAGCAAACTACAATTCTGTATTATAGCTGCTTGGAGCATTTTCAGTTATCTGTCAAAAAATTATAATTAACATAACCAAAAAAAAAGAAACGACAGAAAACAAAAATTAAGTTAAGGAGGACAAATTATGAGATGCTAATATAAATTTGAAGCAGATAGATGAAAAGAAAAAAAAATCAATGAAAAAAAATAACTTGTTTTTTTTTTCTAAGTGGCTTGCATGAAGTGAGAATAATAAAGTATGGTAGCAAAAAAGTTTCCATTACATCTACCAATTTAGTTACAAAGAACACAGTGATAAATGGTCTTAAAAATATCGATATTTTGAACATTTTGTTTGAATTTGATCATTACTAACTCACTTAATTGTCATGTATTTCATGGTTCCAGTTTCTTCTTTAAAACATGCTTATTTTTATGTTTATTGCATGTTTATTTTACATGCTTTTAAATTCAATGGAGAAAGACCTAGCAAAGCATGAATAATATTGTATAAATGACATCTTGTCTTTGCTATACATTATTCACAATTTTGTTTTCCTCTAGATTTGTGCAGAAATAATACTCCTCCTTTTAATACCAATTTTTCCACTTCTCCTCACACTCAATTTTGCTTTTTCTGAAAACATTAAACTTCTGTATTACATCACCAGTGCTATGATCATAATTATCATTGAATTTGTAGGAACAGAAGAGTTTGAAAGTAACAAAAGTAAAGTTTAAGGAAAGCTCCAATATAATTTATTGTTATGAGGTACTGCCAAGAGACATTAAAATCAATTTTGTACAATATAAAGAGTGAAAAAATCACTATGTGGATTTGAATTGTTCACTTATGTGATATTCAAAAGATGTGTTCCAAGAGGCAAGTTTTGTTGTTGATTTCACATTCTTACAAAGTGAAATTTTATAATACCAAATTATGAAATAAGATATTTTTTAAACTTAGGGCTTATACATTATTTACAGTACTAACTTAATATTTTCAATTAGACATCCCTTTATTATTTTACTTAGGTTAGAGTAAAAAAAAAATGCATAAGTCAGTGTATTCAGCAATCAAAGGGTTATAGAATATAGATGGAGAAAAAGCTCAGATTTACAGACCAGCCAAATTCACTAAGTTCTACTGGAAGTCATGTTAAAATTTCCAGAGTTGTGTAAATTTACCTGGTATGTGTTTATAAAGATACAAAAATATTTAACAGAAAATTAAAATTATGGAAGAGACTTTCAGTCTTGTAGGCTCCATAGAGATGGGAGTTGAAAGCTTTATTTCCTGGTTCAGACCCAGGAGTGAGTATACTGCCAGAATAGGTATTTTACTTAAGATATAATCAACCAAACATACACATACTGAAACTGTCAAGTCCATATAAAGTCCAGACACAAAGAAGCAAACTTATACCTCTAAATACTCCTGCATTACACACCACAAAATTCATTTCATTTAATAAGAGCCCAAGAATTGTTTAAAGATCTAAATAACTTGTATACAATTTTGACTGCAAACTCTGGCTTCTTTTTTTTTTTTTTTGTGTGTGTGTGCATGTCAATATACAAAATGCTAACAAAAAGAAAGATAAACGAGATAAGATGTTCCACAGAAGAAAATACATTAAATCTTAATAAATTTTAACAGTATGAAAGGACTTCAAAAAGAAATATCATCTTCCCTGAAATTAACTCTTGACAAAAATAAAAGCTACATTTACTAAGAATTTTCTAACCATTTGTGGATCACCTGGGCCTATCAGATTATTAGCTGTTTTTCAGTTCATAAAAGATACATGATGTGATTAAAGTAGGTTAGCCTTTCTTCCTACACACCGAATCTTTGCAGAGCCTTATTTTCTATAATGAGCAAAATATTTCATAAACTAGGAAAGGGTAATTAAAACATTCTTTACTGTACAAATTTAAAGTACAAAAATTGAAAAATACAAAAAGTGTAATTAACACACATTTTGGATCCTAAAATTTCTTTCTTAGCTTAACTTAAATTTGCTGGAAATTTTATGCGTTGAATTTTGCAGTACTATTTATCTTAATGGTATGCTTTGTTTAAAATAGCTGTAAAAATAAATGACATTATATATATATATGTGTGTGTGTGTGTGTGTAAATAGTATAATACTAAATAACTTTACAGCCTGCTAGTGCTAAAAGTGTACATCTAATTATTTTACAAAAGCTAGGTAATAAGGAATAAAAAGTATGTCAATGTACGGAAAAAAATCGGCCATACTGTTATAAAAAATGTATTATCATGAAATAGAAATTTTTTTCTGCATAACACAGTGTAAATAAACCCTTTAACTATACTACATCAGCCACAAAAAAAGACAACAAAGTATCTAATAAATTCTTTTACCATATTCTATTTCACTTGACATTCATTTTTAATCTGAAAATATTAAGAATTGAAGAGAAAATATCTTTATCGGTCATGGAAATCTCTTGTACTTTATAGTCCAATCTAACCTCATTCATTCAGAGAATCTACCCTAATCATGATTGCTTGTGGCTTGCTTTCATCCACATGTATATAATACATTACTCACTAAAAACAAAAAAATATCATATGAGCCTAAAATTTATGCATACATTGTCACACATCTTTTTAGTTGACTTATTCTACCTAAAAATATATTTTCAGTGCAAGTAACCGAACTTGAAAAGCTAGTGATATTATATAAAAAGAAAAGAGGTGATATTCAAAAACTATTTTATCTCCCATCCCCCCAAAACACTGTTAGTTAACAGATTCTACTTTAAAAAAAATTATTTCCAATATTAACAAACCACAATTCTAATTCTGTATATCTGGGAAAATCATGATCTGCAATTTACATCATTTTTACCTACATAAATATAAAACTGGATGTAAAAAAATACCCGTTTAAAACCCAAACTAAGGCCAGGTACTGCCTCTTGTGTGCACAACAGCCTGATGCTGTAAAGTGAACATATCAGAAGCCTAAACTGGTCAAACAATTATCATGTTGAACTTTGAGGCAATTGGCTAGCCTGTGGAGAGGAGTTAGGGTGCTGAACTATGGATGGCACAGTGCTATAGGTGAGTTGATGTTCTGATGATGATTGGTTGAAGAAGAGGGAATCGTATCCAATAAACTGGTCTTGACTTGATCACTGACGAATTTCTTTAAAGAACCATAGTTTTCACTTGTATCGTTGTTTTGTGAAGAAATGCTAGGATCACGCTCATTCGTGTCCTGCACTTCAGGTTGTATATCTACATCACTGTTATTCTCTTCTAGTTGCTCAGTATCAGACACATTGACTTTTATAGTTTCTGGCAGAAACTAACAAACAGAATTTTAGAGAAAAAAGTTAGAAAAATAGGAGTTTAATACAAGTAATACTTTATGGCATTTAAATGAAACTAGTGAATCTTTTGAAATAAAAATGTAAACTACTTTACATTCAAAAATGCAAATATTGTGTTGCTATTATAAAAATCTATATCATGATGTAGCCATATGTAATGAAAAAAATGAAGGATGAGATTTCTTGATTTCATAAACTTTCCTCATGTCAAGATGAGGTCAGAAAGATTAATTTTCAAATGGTCAATAAATATAAAAAATATTGTGACGCAATTGTTATAAGATAAAATGAGTACATGTATACAGAATTATAAAAATCAGAATGTAATAGTTACATAAATGACATTAAAATATTTAGGAACTTCTGTTATATCAATATATAGGATAAATCAAGTGTTCACAATACAATATAAATATACGTAATAAAGATGCAAAATAAAGAAACAAATTTAAATATTAAATTGTAATGGTTTCTATCATTTTGGAATATTAATTTATTTTTCAATTATTTAATAGTTTTTGTGCTATTAGGCTTGCTAATTTTGGTATGTGTTCAGATATTATGGCATTCTGCATGGAAAAAATTAAAATGTGTATTATATAGAGTAAGATTTTTTCATATAGTAGCCATATGTTTAAAGTACATGAATATTAATCAGTAGACAGCACAGCTCTTTACTAATGAAGCTTCTATTTCACATGACATCAAGAGTTCACATCTGCAATCTCAACATTGAAAAATAACTAATACAACAGGATGTTATCATTAAAGTTATCAGAATCTTACTGGAGATCTTTCAGAATCACCTGCCTCCCCTTTTGGCAATTTTCCATTGTTTCTTTCTTCTGTTGATTCACCTTTCAACAGAGGGTGAGTATAGCCATTAACACACCCATTGCACATACCTTGCGGATATCCACCCTAGAAGATGAAAATATACAGCTTCAGCATTAATGCTACACATGGAAATTTTCAATTAAAATTACACATTTAAGAGGCTTTTCAACAGTAACTTTAGTAATATTTGCAACAAACAATGTATTAGGAATTTAAATTCAACACCATCCATACTCTAAATAAAGAGGTATGTTACAACTGATAAGAAATAAAGGAAACAATAAGCATAAAGGAATTAAAGTCAACTGTTTTGTGAACAAGTGTTAAAAATCAAACCATCATCTAGCCTCCAGCAGCCTACTAGACCCTTACTGTGGTATTTTTAAATGATCAAATATAATCATCTTAACTTAAAACAATTTATAAACTGTCCTTTTAACCTGCTGCACTTAACAATCAGACACTTTTACAATAATTGTTTTCATGTATTAATTTGTTCAATTTTTAAGGATCACTACGTAACTAATATGTTAAATTTTATTTCCTTGTTATGTCATTTTTTCTTTACTTCACACTGTTATGTATGTTTCGATGCTAACAACAGCACTGAATCTCAGTAATGTTCTTTTACTTCTTCAAGTCAAGGTATATTGATCTTTTTTTTCATTGTTTATTTTTTTTCTGAAACAACGGAGACTCATTTCTAAGAATGATAATGAAGGCTTGTGGTTTTAAAAAATCTAATTTAGTGATGCTGATAGATTTTATTTCCTACACCTAGAGCAATACATTACTTCGTGAAAATACTGTAAAATGAGCATATCAGAAGCCTAAACTGGTCAAACAATTATCATGTCAACTTTGAGGCAATTGGCTAGCTTGTGAAGAGGAGTTGAACTAAGGATGGCTATAGGTTGGTTGATGTTCTAGAGAAACTGATTGAACATGATTATTAGGTGGAACACCATTTCATGGATTTGAACAATAAAAGGTAAATTGAGCATGTTTGTTGTCAGGATAACACAGTTATACACATATACATTATTTTAAAGTTATCCAGCTTAGCATTTAATAATCCCCTAAAATTCCTCCACAACCTACCTCCTGATAGGTTACAATTTGAGGACATCTGAGATAAGGTGTTAAGAATATTTAAAATGCTTGATTCTTAGCTGTATACCAAAAAAAAAAAAAAAGAAGCCAAATTTCAAAGAAAACACATCTAATCAAACAAACTGATTAAAATGACAAACTGTACTAAAAGTTCGTATTAGATTTCAATTGCTTAAGTTTTAAGGAAAGATAATTAAGAATTTTGATTGGGGGGAGGGGACAAGTTATGCAATTTTTTAATTTTATTTATTGATCAGATATCTTAGAAGTTATTTCTTCATTATGATAATAGTGTTTTAGTGCATGCTTCTGGTGATGAGGCTAGACTCAGCTGTTCAACAATGCCTCATGGATTTGGCTGGATAAAAATAAATATTTACTTATACAAAACAGCAACTGAATGAATGATTGATATTTGACAAAATGATTTGAAATTTTAAGGACTGAAGTTTTTTTTTTTTATCCGTAAATTTCATTTTTAAATGTTTTTAAAAAATAATCTATAAATGAAAATTTTGTTAAAATTATGTTAAATACATATAAATTTTCTTAATAATAAAATTAAAACTTTCAAGTCCAGAATCTTAATGTATTTTGATTAACAAATGTGAAGGTGTATTCAGGCTTCTATTCAACATAGAGAGTTTAAGCAGCTCTACCACTTAATTTTCATATTTACTTGTTCTTCTTGTTATCTAACTAGAAATATGTTTTTCACAAAACAAAGCAAAATTGCTATTTTAAATTCTGGAAAAGTAAATATAGAATCCTATCATAAAACTGCAAAACTGAGTTGAATTCTAGGTACACAAAGATCACAAACACAAAAATTGAGGGTTTCAATATTTAACAGGCAAACAAAATGAGACAAGAAACAAAAACTGACACAAGACCTTAATATGGACTCCACTCAGCACAGAAATAAGTGTAATGATGTTTAATTTCTTGTCAGTAAAAAAGTAAATATGAATTTATGACTATGTTAAATTCTTCTGAACTATTCAGTAATGGAATCTCCTTTTAGAATACTAAGTAGTTCTTTGTTATAAGCTTTAATTTATAGCCTGAGCAATAAAAATAAATTTACATCAGTGCCAAGGTAATAATACAACAGGTGATATTTCATGTTAACTGTTGACCAAGAAAAAAATTTTAAATTATGATTCTTTTGTTAATTAATTTTGCATTTATAATAATGAAACTGTTTGCTTTAAATATTAATAATTTGTAAAGAGCTTTACAACAAAAGCCGGTAACATAGAGCTAATTCTGATTCAATGGTTAAAACCAGTTCAAAGAGTTTATACATGGGGAGAAAACTTTAAAAATATCAACAGAGAATTATTTATTACAAAGCTATGTAAATATTAAAATTAGGTTTAAAGCAAAAACCCAAACAAAAAAACCCAAAATGTTTCTGTTAAAATATATATATATATATACCTTTGAATCAAGATGTTTTTCAGTTGATGAACTGGACGTATCAATCATTATTGGTGTTAACGAATCCATTTCCTCACAATCAGAGTCTGCTGGCTTTGCTCCTCCTATATGTTGTCCATTGTGACAGGGATCCTGCTGACCACTACAACATGCAGAATAATGGATTCCCATTGGAGGGACTACTGGATGGGTTGGACAAACCCTAAGAAAATATTTTCAGTTATATTAAACTTCATTATACTTACAATTATAAAATTGAATCTAACTGCTGGATAAAAAAACTAAAAGGTTACAACAATGCACTATTAGATTAACCAAACTAATTTTGTGGTTGACATCATTAGCACTGTTTGCAAACTTGTGTTTTCAACTTTTTTAAACCTTGAATTTCAAATAAATGTTATTTTTCTTTTCCTATCCTGGCCCTCTACAGAGGATAAACCATACTTTATTAGAATGATTTGCATGCACTAATGTGTCGCTGCAGAAACAAACCATGGAACCAAAGTTGATATGTTTAGCACTAATATGGTTCTTGATGAATTCCTTCACCTTTTACAGAACAATGTCACCAAGGGTAAATTTATACCTAGAGAAATATATCACAGCCCTTTCTAAGGAGGGATATTCATGTAGTTAGACAAACAATATAGAGCAAATGGACAGAAAACATTGGAGAAAAGAGACCTCAATATTTTTCTACAGAAGTACAAAAACTTATATTGCAAAGCATTCAAAACAACATCCTAAGTCAATCTAGAGCAATGCATAGATCCACAAACACTTTAATCAGAAAAAACTGAATCCTCTGATTAAAAAAAAAAGTCATTATAATGAACCTGAACATGTTTCCTAGTACTCATAAAAGGTAATAAACAGGGATTTGAAGTTGACAAAGACTCATCAGACAAAAGTTCACAATTTTTAAGATACTCCTCAAAATAAATGGCTATTTTCATGAATAAAATTGTCAAAGAAACTGAAATTACAGCAATTCTCATCTATGTATCTGTTAACTCTCAATACAGGCTCAGTCAATCTGACCGACCACGTAACCTTTTTCTATTTGTGTAAAGTCTTTATATAGATTTAATACTTCTAACTCTCAATATAGTGCATATATCTCATGAAATTTGGCAGTCTTTCAGTTGATATTACAAGTCTTTCACATACAAAAAATATTATTTTTTAGTGAAGTATTTTTAATAAAATAAAATAAAAAATTTGTCCACGAATAGATTGAGTATTTGTTTTGAATAGTCCATGTGCAAAATAATTTTCATGTTAAAATTAAAAGTACTTTTCCTCATCTCAAAATTCTCAAATTTACTTTGGGTAATCCCTAAAACCTCCTAAATTCATTTCAAATGATTTTTTTTTCTAAAATGACTTCAAATTGTAACATGAAACTACATTTGTTTATCCTCATTTCGTAACAGTATACATCTATTTATAAATAAATTTTATTGTTTTATTGCCCTTTTTATTGCTTTTTGAACCATGTCTAACTACTATCCGCACCATTACAAGTTATAAATCACTCGATGAATGTGCAGCTCACACTACACTATTGAATTACATTACCCACAAGCTTCTAGCATGCGTACCTCATAAACCATTTCAATTACATTATTATTATTACATATTTTACCTAATCTAGTCTTAAATAACTTAAAAAGATCTGTATTTTTAGATTTTAATTATTTTTATAATGATAAGTAAAGAATAAATATGTAAAACAAGAAATAAGGTACTTACCCAATCATCTTTTTTCTTGCTCTCAATTCTGATGTACGGTACAGCAGATTAATTTTGCATTTATAATAATGAAACTGTTTGCTTTAAATATTAATAATTTGTAAAGAGCTTTACAACAAAAGCCGGTAACATAGAGCTAATTCTGATTCAATGGTTAAAACCAGTTCAAAGAGTTTATACATGGGGAGAAAACTTTAAAAATATCAACAGAGAATTATTTATTACAAAGCTATGTAAATATTAA